AGCCAACCGTCGACGATTGGATATGCTAACCAACGAAGGCGCAGACGGAAGACTGGAAGATATGACTCTGTACTTCGTCCACTTACTCTCCATGCTTACCTACAGTGCCTGTGGCCGTTACCGGCCGGTCAAAGAGGGAGCGTTCGTTTTAGGAGAGCCAACCATCGACGAGTGGAGAAACTAACCTACGAAGGCGCAGACGGAAGACTGGAAAGTAAGAGTCTGTACTTCGTCCACTTACTCTCCATGCCGACGTACAGTACCCGTTGCCGTTACCGGCCGGTCAAAGCGGGAGCTGTCCATTTAGGAGAGCCAACCACCGGCGATTGGAGAAACTAAACAACGAACGCACAGACGGACGACTGGAAGATACGACTCTGTACTTCGTCCACTTACTCTCCATGCCTACGTACAGTACCTGTGGCTGTTACCGGCCGGTCAAAGAGGGAGCTGTCGTTTTAGGAGAGCCAACCCTGGACGACTGGAGAAGCTAACCAACGAAGTCGCGGACGGAAGACTGGAAGGTAAGACTCTGTACTTCGTCCGCTTACACTCCATGCTTACCGACAGTGCCTGTGGCCGCTACCGGCCGGTCTAAGAGGGAGCTGTCGTTTGAGGAGAGCCAACCGTGGACGATTTGAGAAGCTAACCAGCTAACGCGCAGACGGAAGACGGGAAGATAGGACTCTGTACTTCGTCCACTTACTCTCCAGACCTACCTACAGTGCCTGTGGCCGTTACCGGCCGGTCAAAGAGGGAGCTGTCGTTTTAGGAGAGCCAACCATCGACGATTGGAGAAGCTAACCAACGAAGGCGCGGACTGAAGACTGGAAGGTAAGACTCTGTACTTCGTCCACTTACTCTCCATGCTTACCTACAGTGCCTGTGGCTGTTACCGGCCGGTCAAAGAGGGAGCTGTCGTTTTAGGAGAGCCAACCGTCGACGATTGGAGAAGCTAACCAACGAACGCGCAGAAAAAGGACTGGAAGGAAGGACTTTATACTTCGCCCACTTAATCTCCATGCCTACCTACAGTGCCTGTGGCCGTTAGCGGCCGGTCGAACAGGGAGCTGTCGTTTTAGGAGAGCCAACCATCGACGATTGGAGAAGCTAACCAACGAAGGCACGGACGGAAGACTGGAAGGTAAGACTCTGTACTTCGTCCACTTACTCACCATGCCTAACTACAGTGCCTGTGGCCGTTACCGGCCGATCGAACAGGGAGCTATCGATTGAGGAGAGCCAACCATCGACGATTGGATATGCTAACCAACGAAGGCGCGGACGGAGGACTGGAAGATATGACTGTTCTTCGTCCACTTACTCTCCCTGCTTACCAACAGTGCCTGTGGCCTGCAAATTACGTTCTCAAATGTTACACCTCAGGAAAGGGCGTTTTTTGTTCTCAAAATGCCTTCTAAATTCCCAAGTAATCTCGACCCCGACTCGTCGTCACACTTGCATTCGGGGTTTCCAGACCAGCAGTTGTATATTTTCCCTGTGAGGAAAATCATGCATGTGTATATGCCATAAAAAAGAGCAATAAATAGACAGGCGCGGTGCCTTATGAGTGGATCTTCCTCGGTCTTAAAAACGCACAATTTGAAACATTCCTGAAAACAAAAATATTCTTTCTACGATTAAAAAAAATAAAGATGAAGCAGTTCACTACCAGATGAATATGTGGAAGAACTCTTTTGTTCATGTTTTTTTTCCAAAATATCTTAGAATTTATAAAGTCATTCAAAATCAATATAAAAATGTATACTGCAAAAGTATCCGTTTTTAACAGATTGCGATTTTTGAAGAAGGCCAGAAAGAAGCCGCTAAAAGTTCGCCATCCTGGCGTGGCTAAGATATATTTTTATTATTTTGTATGATAATTAATGTCACAACCCCGCTTAAGTAACGTCGACCGGTGCCAAATAAGCGGCCACAGGTCTTCCATTACGGCTACCTTACGTACTATTGTTTGTTCAGTAGGTGTGCCTGTGGTATTTTTTTTTGCCGCCGCGGCAAGTGCTTTAGCCAAGGCAAAATTAAGTAAAGGAGTGACATTCAGCTAATGAACTCAAGCTGTGTGATGGTTCCACAACATATTTAGGTAGGCCCGAACCTAAGGCCGTCATAGGGGCATAGTAGAAAAGTGGTTAAAACTGCAAGAGAAATGACTTTAAGTTCCGCAAATATTCCCATGTTAAACTTGAAAAGTAAGGTTGGCAAACACGTGTTTTCGGTAATTCTTCGTCAGGCCAGTGCAGTTACATGAAGGAATGGAAATTTACAAAAGTAACAGTGTTTCTATGTGTCTCAAGGGCTATTAAGTCATTAACACTCATTTTCCCCACATCGCCATCATGACGTGGTCGGCAGGTTTTGGTCCAAAGACGTAAAGACAGGCTACCGTTGGAGGCCACATCAAGGTGCATCTACTCATTCACTTGCTCCTGTGGAGCGGGATACATCAGCCGTACAACGAGACGCCTGGTAAAGAGGGTGCGTGAACATATACTCGCCTGGTTAGACAGAGGTGAGACCCAATCGATTTCGAGTTTTATTCTCGCACGTTTAATCGATAAGGATCACCGAG